ACTTCAACTTTTGGTGGAGAGTGGAGTGTACCGCTCCCAAAGCGTGTAGCCATGTTCGACCCATAATCACGTTGTAAGGGGAGTCCGTGTCGATCACCACAAACTCTGTGTCGATGACGAAGGGACCAGTGGCGACCGGTAATGTAATTTTCCCCACGGGCAAGGCGAAAGAGCCGTTGAACCCGATGAGGGGTGTCCTGATTTTGGTCAAGTCTTTGGGGCCAAAACCCATCCGCTTCAAAGTCTCGAAGTACATCACCTCCGAGGAACTCCCTGAATCAATCAAGATTCTCTTGACATCGAATTTCCCTATCTTCAGGGTTAAGACAAGGGCGTCGTTATGAGGAATCACCACGCCCGTCAAATCCGCGTCAGAGAACATAATGCCAAGCTCACCCATCCTGGCCCTTTTGCTTGATGGCCCCACACCTCCTTCGGCTACCTTTCTGGTAAAAGCTACCCTCTTGAGGTCGGATTCGAGCTCTTTGGACGTGGGGCGCTCCAGTGGACACACATGGATGACGTCTATGACGTTGTTTGGTTCCTCGGTCGGGGCATGGGCTCGTTTCTCTTCTGGCCTAGGCTCTATGTATTCTTTCAGATATCCATCTCGGACTAAGCTCTCCAAGAATGACTTGAACACCCTGCAGCTCTCGGTGCGATGCCCGACATCCCGGTGATATGAGCATCTTACTGTTTGATCACGGGTGGAGAGGTCGCTTTGCATCCTGGGCGGCCATTTGAAAAACGGTTCGTGTTTGATTTTATGGAGCAACCTGAAGATGGGTTCCTTGAAGACGGTGTGAACTCCTCTGGACGAACCCCCTGGACGGGGTAGCAATCCCTTCCGGGGAATATCTTCGTGCTCTTTTCCTTTCTCTTGGGTTGGAGGGCTCGGCCTTTGTTGCCCCCCATCTCGTCCTCGACCCTTGAGTACTTGTTGATTCGGGCCATCAGTTCCCCCATATCCGAGGGAGTCTTTTTGGTCAGGGATCGGTACAGGTCCGTGTCCCTGGCCAAGCCGAGCCGGAATGATGCTGCTGCCATGACCTCCGAGCATCCCTCGACCTCATTGACTTCTTCCCAGTATCGGATGGCGTACTGGCGAAGAGTCTCGGATTCCCTCCTCCTGAGGGTCAGCAGTGATCCAATGTCCTTTGGGCGCTTACTCCCCGTGATGAATCGGGTTAGGAACTGCCTTGTCAATTCTTTCCAGGACCCAATACTGTTTGGGGGAAGCGCCTCGAACCACCTCATCGCGGAGTCCCCCAAGCTCATAGGGAATACCCGGCATAGAAACCGTTGGTCCGAATGATAGAGGGACATCATCTGCTTATACTGTCTGATATGGGCATCGGGATCAGATCGCCCATCATAGGTCTTGAACCGTGGCACGACGAACTTTCTTGAGACGTCCATCTCGCTGATTTCCCTCGTGAAGGGTGTTTGCATGACTTCGTCCTCGGCCTCGTCCTGGATCGTCTTGCCCTTTCTCCTGGAGTCTAATCGGGCTCTGAGATCTACTTCTTCCCTTACGGGATGCCTCCTGAAGTCTCTGGGTTCGTCGGTAAGCCCCTCGTTTCCTGGGCGTCGTGTAGATTGGGTTGAGTCCTCCTCGGATTCATCTCCCTTCCTCCGTCTGGATAAACCTCGCCGGAGGTCGTCCAGGGCCAATGGCCTTGCTTTCCTGGAATGGTTGTCAAGATGGCATTCGCCGGCCTTGGGTCGCTTCGGGGCCCTGGAGCTTTCTGCTTTGTGATCCAGGTGGTTCCTTAGATCTTTTGTCTCCGCCTCATGGACGGGGAGTCCTCGGGAGAGGAATGAATCCCTCGACCCTCCGCCTGAGGCAGCAAACTCGTCGAGCCGGCTAAGGACGTTTACATTGTCCTTCTCCAGCTGACGTAATCTATCGCCAAATTTCTCTTCAATCACCTCTGCCAGCTGACGGGCCAAGGGGGCTGATCCTCCTGACCTGATCCCCATACTGGTTTGAGGGGTTACCCCCCTTGACCGAGTAGAGGCACTTTTAATCGTACTGGTGCGATCCCTCCCTCCGTGATGGCAGGGAGCTTGCAACTCATGACTCCGTTGGTGGGTTCCTTCCCTTTCTGTCTGGTGTTCACCATGGTCACTGTTCTTTTATAGAGAAAAGATTAGGAAAACTACTCGTTTCCCACAGACGGCGCCAGATTGTGCGGGCTTGATCCTGCACGATATATATAAAATATTGGGAACAGATCTCTCCCCTGGTGAACTTTGGGTGAGCCGGTTGAGTGGCCAAGCACACTGCTCGAAACAGCTTACGATCCTGGGAAAGGAGGAACGATCCTGTACGTGCGAAAGGTATTTCCTGGAACAAAAGAGAACAGGTTAGAAGGGCGCCGGAGTGTTTTCCGGCGTATCCCCTCCGACGATCTAGTCAGTCTTTGAATGAGAGAGAGGAAGGAGAAAACACTGAGAAGGATATTTCGTAGTAGAGAGTTTGTGATTGCATACCTTTGCCTTTTGGGAGGGGTATTTATACCTTAGAAACTCATGATTGCTGTCAGTGTGGTCAGTAGGTGATCATCAGGCACTGGCAGCGTGTGTCTTGATTTGACGAGGAATGTTTCTCTAATTGACTGCTCGGGATCCCGAGCAATCAATGTTGAGTCGTCGGGACGCCGACGGTACAATATGCTCCTTTCGGGAAGGATGCAATAAATGCTCTGTAATAGGAGCATTTATTGCCTTTCATATCCGAACCTTACCGCATTGAATGCGGTCTCGTCAACAGAAGGGTGCAATTAATTGTTTGCTTCCCAAAGCGCATGTCAGCAATGGCGTGCGGTTTGCCTGTTTTTGATGTGATATCATATGCCACGCGTCCGTCACGTATTGGCTATGACTTCTGTATCCCAGTATGTTCTGACATTTCTTGTGTAAGAAGAGATCATGATGACTAGTCCATACTGGCATAGGCTGATGTCCAGTTTTGTCAGTAGCTTCATCCGGGAGTAGAGGAAGCGTCCAGGATGGAGTGACCCTCGGTGCCGAGGAAAGACTGACCTCGGGGGGACCAAGGGTGGTGTGTTCCCGAGGTACATGGCGACCGAGGACACATGTATTTGTATACTGTACCGAATATGTGATCCTATATGAGAGGTACCTCGGGGAGAGGGAGCTTTCCCGATGGTGCTTGAACCCCGAGCACCATTGTTCTAGAAATCCCCGAGGACACGTGTCTTCATCATAGGCTTTTTCAGAAGAGTCCCATCAGAATGCCTATTTTTATAGTTGATGATCCCCCCCCCCCAATGTCTAAGTGGGAAAATCCGTGAGGGGAAAAAAATCTTTCCTTTTTGCTATTGTTAGTGGGAATTGTGGCACATTAGATGCGTGGACGATATTAATTGTTAAATTTTATAAAAATATAAATTTACAGGGAAAAGATGATTGGCTATGAATTAATAAGAAAATATTTCATTTTACTTGAGAGAAAAGGAACAAGGATAAGTGCATAGGAGCCCAAGAGAGCAAGAGGGAAAAGGGTAAGAAGGTGTTTCTTTTCTTTTCTTGTGGACCTTTGAGCTCAAATATAATTGAAGAACTATTCCTAAAATCACTATGAAAAAAAGGTATTTTTTTATTAAGATTAATAGTTTTGAGATAGAGAAATGTTATTTGATAAAAAATATTGACAACATTTAGTAGATCTAAATAAATGTCGGACCCACTGTTAAATTAATGACAATAATATTAAGAGTCAGAAAATATTATTAATATTTTTGTCCATATAACATTGCTCTACATTTTATCGAATTATTTTAAAATTCAACTTAATTTTTATTAAATAAATACTCAATTTATTATGTATTTTTATGTTATTTAGATTAAATCACAATCAGATTAGATATTGAGATATTTGAATACGATCTCCGGTAGCCATAGATTTTTCAGTTGATTCACTGTAGCATTATGTTAAGAAAATAATAATATAATACAAGTTTATAGTTATTATATTTTCGTTAGTTGAAAAGTCAATGAATTAATAGAGAATAATAAAGGGTTGACAGCTATAAGCCTATATGCCAATATCTAAACCTCATCGTCTTAAACGCGCAAAAGATAAAAAAATGGTTTTATGGTTTATTAAGACAAAATCCACCTAAAAACTACTAGGAAACTGAGGTGGGGAGGGATAAAAGAAGGATAAATTATATTTTGACCCTCTTAATTTACACTTTGTTTTTTCAATTGTCATGTTTTTTACATTTTACTCTCAATTATAAAATTAATTTCATATATTCTTAATTATTTAATGTCCGTCATAAATTTAACAAATTTTTTTTTCATTTTTTCCTTCGAACAATGTGATGGTTTTCACTTTGTCTCGACTCATTGATAATTTTTGTATAAAAAAATAACGAGCCCAGATTTAGACCAGGGCTAGACTCAATTAACGGGTTAAGCCCAAATCATTAAAAGGCATATAAAACTTATCTTGTAGTCTCAGTTTAATCCAAAGCTCAGCAGTTCAGGAAGAGTCAACGCGTGTGAGAGAGTAATTATCATAATATCTATTACTCTGAGATAATGTCTATCCTCAATTGTAACTATTCTCCCGGATAGATTAGTAGTTTTACTTTCACAATACTGCCACAATTAGGGTTTTGTGCCTATAAATTGTCAACCCCTTACACAGGAGATACACAGAGTTCACTTTGAACATACTTTTACACACTTTTTCTCTTACTATCCCGGGGCCACCGTTACCGCACTAAAGATCCAACTATCTAATCTTTATCAATTTTTATTAGTTATTTTACACCACATACTCGATTGATTTAATTGTATATAATCAACTTTGTGATTTAGGGTATTGTGACGTTATAAAAAAATTAATAGTTTAAAGGGTAAAATGAAATTGAGTGTATAGTTAAGGGGTCAAAAGTATAAAACTCAGATCTAGAACTAGAAGGTTTGAAATACAGGCATGGAGATGATGCAGTAGTAATACACAAGAAAGCTATTAAACTAATGGTAGCAACGGTTACTGCGTTTGGTGTTGGGGAAAAGTAAAAGTCAAGTCAGATGGGCTGGCCGGACTCTCTCACACATCGTTAGTTTTGAATTCACATTTGACATTACTACCGATTCCTCTAACCGCTTTATACATTTAGAGATAGAGAGGGGGAGAGAGAGAGAGAAGGGGAACTCCGCCGGGGCTCAGGCGATCGTGTAAGTATCTTCTTCACCGAAACCCTAACTCTATGTTTCTCTGTCTGTGTGTGGGGGAGAGAAAGATATTTTCTTTGATGGTTTGATTTTCAGTTTTCTTTATATACATATACATGGAAAGTTTTAAGGGTGTAAAGAATCTAAGATATTTGAAGTATTGTGGTCTCTGAAATGGAAAATATATATATATAAAATTGAGATTTACTTCAGCTTTTCATGCCCAGACGCCAACAAAATTTCAATTTAACAGACTCCGGCTGTGTTTTTTTTTCCCTTTTTGGGAATATATGTGCAAGAAGTTTTTCCTTTTTGTTGCGTTTTTGTTTGTAGCTGAAATATGACTAATTTGAATATTATCTTCTGGGGTTTATAACATAGGATGTTGTGAGTGAATTTTGAATAATTTCAGCTTTTTTTTTTTGGAACTGGAAATAGTTCCAGTCTTACTGGTGGCATATGATTCAATTTTCGTACATTTTTTTTGGTAATCTTCGGGAGTTTCAGGAATTCTGGGAGTTTTAGTAATTCGTATAATAGAGCTTAACAAATGATTCCATAGGGAAACGAATGCCTGGTTATTGGTTTGAACGGAATATGTAGATGGCAGCTAAAAATTGTGAACATGGTTTTTTGTTTGAAATTATGGTTTTCACTATGCTTTTGATTCGAGGACTCTGCAAACGTACAATAGATGGAGTGGATGCATGTAAAGTTGGTTTGTAAATACTTTTTCCTTTGGAGGGGGATTGGGGAGTGGAGTTAGGGTTTCTTTAGTTTTATGTGATTTGTTGAATGATTTGTTCTTTTGTATTTATTGGCATAGTTAATTTTAGAAATTCAGTGCTGACCAAAAGAAAACTTCAGTGGAATTTTGCATCTCAAGTGCTCAATGATATTTTTTAGAGCAATTCTCAATAAAAGAAACTACTAAAAGCTGATATTGTATATGGGGAGTAGCAAAGAAAAGAGTATAGATTTTTTGGTGTGTTAATTACAATTTATTTGTATGACAATCATATCTTTCCTTTTAGATTTCTCGAGAGAGCCAGTTTTATATGGCTAAAAATTCTTAATTCATCTCTTACGGTGGTAAAGATGAAAATTTATCAATTAGTTGGGGGATTATGTCTCTTGAGAAGTGAGATATATGAGTTCAGGACATCAATGACACATTCCCCTTCTTTACATGGTAACAAGAAGCTAGGACATAATGGGTTTTAGCCCTATGCTGCTTTAAAAGGCATGGATAATATGCAAGATGAAGTAACATGGTTTAGTGTCTTTTAGAATCAGTAGAGTGCTTGGGAAACTTGACAGAACAGTTATTATTGTTTTGTTTTTGTTTCACGAGTCCAATTTCTCTACATGAGGCATTCTGGACCTATAACCTTCTCTCATACAATCCTGTATCACCTTACTGGCACCAAATAGATTGATCATGCCTCATTCTTCAGTCATGGTTTCTCTCATCTGTCCTTTTTTTTTTGGGGTTGTTAAGTGTTACGACTTTTTTAGCTCAAGAATTTCAGAAAATCTCTTTTCGATAAGAAGAATTGCAGAGATCTATTACCGAAGTAGCATGTTGTTTAGACTTTACACTTTCTGGAACAAATTAGTGACCTTTTGAAAGCGGGTCGGATGAACCAAAACTTTTAGTAGGATGCTACACACCTAGGATGCTCTTGCATCACCTCCCATCGGGGAGGTCTGAGGTCTGAACCTCGCTAAGGGTGTGGTGGTGGAAAAATATTAGTCCTTATCAGGTCTAAGGCCTAAATTCGACCCCTCATAATTTGGTTAGACTCTCATTCCTTTTTCCCTTAGGAGTAGGCTAGGCTCAATCATGTTAGAATAAAAAAAAAATGGTGGTGAATAGTTAGAAAATAATCATGTATTCCTTACATTATAAATCTTCTACTTTATAAGGCAAAGTCTTTTAAGTTTAAACTTTAAAGTGTACAAATTGACCCAAGTACAAACAACCGTATATAATATATTGCATGAACAATGTTTTTTGTTTTCTTTTGGATGTTCTGGTTGGGGTGGGGATGTTCTTAGTTGAAATTTTGTTGTTGTTGTTTTTTTTTTTTTTTTTTGGGGGGGGGACAAGTGCCCTGCTCACTCCTTTCCTCTGGCTGCAATTCAGGGATTCCAGTTTTCCATATTGAGGTCTGCTCTCATATGGTGCTCTGGTGATTACAAGAACCTATTTAGTTAGATAATTAGCAAAATTCAGCCTTAGACAAGTCAAATTTCTTTTATTATGGAAACTAATTTGAACCCTCAGCATTTATTTGTTGGCAAGTCTATTGAGATGATGTTTTCCTAGTTGTGAAAATTACATCAAATAGTGGTGCCAAAGTGAGCAGGGCAATGATTTGTCATGTGATGTGGTTCAGCTAGGGAGAAAAAATAATGGCTGCGTGTGTTAACTATTGGACTCATGGGAGTTCTTTTTATAGTAGCTTGCTGTATTTCTAGTATTAACTTTAAGGCTTCTACTTTTATCATCTGCCCTATGCTTGCCTACCTTAATGCTAATAGTTTTTTCTTTTGCGTGACAGATTCTGGTATCTCAGCAAAGATGCCAGATTCAGCTCAGGAATTGGGAAAACACCATGTAAACACCGAGAGTCAAGCAAGGGAAGACAGTGAATATGTAAGGCTGGTAATATCAAATGGAGCAAGTATAGGAGAAGTTGATGTTGTGCAACCGCAAGCAGAAACAAGAAAAAGATCTTTCATCTGGTGGATCAAGGCCATAATATGGTGTTTTATCACTGTCATAATCGTCCTCATTTCTTTGAAATGGGGAGTGCCATTTGTTTTTGAGAAGGTAATACATTTCGTTTGTGTAACATTCTTTTTTTCCCAACTGTAGGTTAATTTTGTTGATGTCAATATGAGAAACATGCAATAGAGACAAGCAATTAATTCCATCAATACAAAAGGCTAAGTTTCAATTCATTAATTCATTAATAAAGATAAGCCATTATTTCCATCCATACAAAAGGCTAAGTTTCATAGAGCTTTAATTGGCTACATAAAAGATGGATCGTGAAAAACACAGCAAGAATGACAAAAGCCTTTAAAACTAATGTTGTTTATAGCGTAAGATACACGATATGATCGTATGTTATGTTCTAATACAATGACTGATACAATGAAAAAATGATACGAACACTAAATGGTGAAACGAGGAAGTTTCGCAAGACATTTGTTTTTACCCTAAATAGTGAAATCATGTTGTTTTGCAAAACTGTTTTTTACCCTAAACAGTGAAATGTTGTCAAACAGATAATGCTCACGTTTGTTGTCTTCTCCTCACACGACCCTACTCATCCTCCTCCTCCTCCAAACAGACAAAATTCTAGTTAGACTTGAATCTCTGTCATGAAGATGAAGGTTCGTTTCTCGTTTGATCTTTATCACAAACACGTAGGAGCGACTCGAAATAACATTTATATTATTTGGACCTCATACTTATTTATTGTAGGCAAGGATCAAAATATCGTGTCGAAACATTTCCGTTTCTAAGAAGACCGAAACGAATCATTGATTGAATCGAAATTTCAATACTTCAAGATATTTCGGAATATTGAGTTTTTTTCGAGATGATTCAATATATTTTTACCAATGTTTTGGAATGTTTCGGATGTTGCAAGATCTTTAACTATATTTAGACTAATACTTTGAAATGTTTTGAAAATAAATCTCAAAATTTTTATCCATTTTTATTATGTTTTCGAAATATTTTCAAAACTTTTTATTTCTTAGGTGTCTTAAACAATGCGCCGAAACGATATTTTTATCCTTAATTTTAGGTATAGATATTTATTTATCTATTTTTTAAAAAACTAAGTGTATATTATACGTTATAGGGTAAATTTCACTTTGCACCATGAAAGATTTAAGAATTTTCACTTTACATCTTGAAAGATTAGATTTTTCGCATTGCACTCTGAATGTATTAAAAGGGTTGCAATATGGTCTTTTTCTTAGCTTTCGTTACTCATTCTATCAATGTTAGTGGGGTGATTTTTTACGGAATAAGCAACGAAAGCTAACAAAAATGCCACATTGTAACACTTACATTGATGGTGTAATGTGAAAAATCTAATTTTTGAGAGTTCAAAGTGAAAAATTTTAAATCTTTCAAGGTGTAAAGTGCAAGTCCCCTACTTTGTAATATATGATACATTATTTTCGGAAAACAATACAAGTTGCAATACACAATTGAACAACTTTGTTTAAAGCAACAAGAATTGTAACATAAAGCTTCTAAGCAAAGATTCATTAGATTAGATTTGTCATTTAAAAAAAATAATATTAATATACTAGTTATATAAACTCTATAAAAATATTATAAAATTAAAATAAAAAATGCAAAAAGTCTGCGGGTCAAGCAAGGATTGGTCAAGCTTTCCGAACCTAAGAGACTAGATGAGGTGGGATGAATAGGAGATCCCAAATTGTAACACCCCCACCTTAGGTCTTAGAAATTGCCTTTTGGTCCTTTAATTTGTTGTGAAGTTTCAAGATGTTATTTAGTTGCCCCCTTCAAGTGTGGACCTTTCGAAAGTAGTAGTTCTTAATCTTTTGTTGTATTTTCTTTCACTCTTTGTTAGCGTACCTGGTTTCAAATTTCCAACTTTGTTGTAGATGTAAAGAAGTACAAATTACTAACATTGTTTATTTTTCTGACTATTGTATCTTGGCGGGTACTATTTAGAAGAAGAGATCTTCAGATAGTGATGATTATGATTATAAAGGTGGTGGTGAAGTTTCAATTTATAAGCCCTACAAATGATTTTTAGACATTGTCACTGATTCTAGTATTTGTTTCTATATTTTTTGGTAAGTATTCTTGTTACTATATTGCATAGACACTTTGGTTCGTCCATAATTTCTCGTTTTATTTTTGTAAGTAAAATTAGAGAATTCATTTCAACACCTTCACATGTATATATTCGTCATAGCAAGACTGAAATGCTGATCTTTGGTTATTATGTGTTTGATCAGATGACACAGCATAGACATCAATGTAGTGTAAAAAATTTTGACTTGAAATATATATAATCTCTAAGTTTTAAGAAATTTAGATGTTTTGACAATAGTATAAACTTAACCATATCTTCATTATTAAAATACTATTTAAACGGAGAATTGTTGCCATGTAGCAACTATCTGTACATATATCAACTTGGCACATTAAACCTATGTTCATTAAGTCTGCCGCAGGTTCTCCTTCCAATCATGCAATGGGAAGCCACTGCCTTTGGTCGTCCAGTTCTTGCGCTTGTACTTGTTGCTTCTCTGGCCTTATTCCCAGTGTTTTTGATTCCTTCTGGTCCATCGATGTGGCTGGCGGGAATGATTTTTGGATATGGTATTGGGTTTGTTATAATCATGGTCGGGACAACTATTGGGATGATCCTGCCATATTTGATCGGTTTGCTCTTCCGTGATCGAATTCATGTAAGGCACCAAGAAATGTTTTGCAATGCCTGTATGAAGTTGTTTTTGATGATTTTTATTTTTCATTCTTTTGATGTGTGTCCCTTTTTCCATGGGCAGCAATGGTTAAAGAGATGGCCTCAGAAAGCTGCTATGATTAGATTGGCTGGGGAAGGGAGCTGGTTCCATCAGTTTCGAGTGGTTGCACTATTTAGGGTTTCCCCATTTCCGTACACAATTTTCAATTATGCAATTGTGGTGACAAGTATGACATTTTGGCCCTATTTATGTGGATCAGTTGCAGGAATGGTTCCAGAAGCCTTCATCTACATTTATAGGTTAGTTTTCCGAATTATTCTCCACCCCTCCCCCCAAAAAATGATTTAACTCTTTAAACCTTCTCTAGTTTTAAGACATTATTTTTAAAGCTATGGTAGTTTTCTCTTATTAAAAAGCTATAAAAAGCCTTTTCCAGTCAGTTTAATAACCACAAGGAACACCTCTTTGAAGATGTGTGTCTGTCCATTTATGTAGTTGATCACAAACATGTCTCCACCAAAATCCTCATGCTCATAAATTAGATCATTTGCGCAAGTTCCTGTAGAATGTAGGATTTGTTATCTTTCTGTTTTGATTGCCGCTAATTTATATTTGTGCTCATTACGTTTTCTTTCCATTCTTGTCTGCAGTGGTCGATTAATAAGGACATTAGCAGATGTCCAGTATGGGAACCATCACCTGACTACAGTGGAAATCATTTACAATGTTATCTCCTTTATTGTTGCAATCATCACCACAATTGCTTTTACTGTTTATGCAAAGAGAACACTGAAAGAACTTGAAAGAACAAAGACTGGTGATGAAGGCTCTGCCCATGACAATAGCAACTGCGAGATGGAGAAGCTTCCGCTTGAAAGACCCAAGCATCGGGGTGTTTCGTCATCCTTGTCATAGCCTGTATGTGGTTTAGGTAGGTGGTTGTATATAATTTGAGGTTTTGTTGGGGATTGTATTCCCTGATATTTTGTAACTTGAAAAATGAAAAAATAATATGCTACTTCACTTACAAACTTTTCTACATGAATTCCATGTGAACCGTTGCCACTAATCAGTTGATGGTTGTGGTGGTGTCCCAGCAACTGTTGAAAAGAGCTGGTAAGAAGAGCATTACTGAATGAAAAAACACAAGAAATATGATCTGTAAATATGAAATTACCTTTCTTGGGGTAATTAGGTAAATGAAGAAGATAATACTTTATAGATTCCCTGGATTGCATATTCTCTGTGTGTGTGTATTTTTTTGGTGCCTACTGAAAAGATTCACCTTTGCTCGGTAGTTTCAGTTAAAGATACAAGGTATAGTCTGTTGATTTGATTCGAAAATAAAATTGGCATAAAATATTGTAATTGTGATGACAAAGATACCATCATGATTCCTTAAAAATAACAAACAGTGCCCTGTTTAGGCTTCGTATTCTTCCCTCTAACACAAGATGAACATGATACAAACATAACATTTTATGATGTTAACAGAAAAATGACTGCAGTCAAATTTAGATCCACAATCTTAGATCGTTATTCCACAAAAATTACTTTTGCACTAGGGAATTTATAGAGATGTCATGGATGAAACCAAATGGTCAAACTAGTGCCTTTTTATGGACAATCCAAAGGGATGACTTGACTTTGGTCGACACAAGAAATCTCAATTACCGACGTCATATTTGCTTCATCAACAGTCGTACTGTACTCTTTGATATGAACATTTTCAAACCGTTCTTTTGCCATATTATGGGTCTCACTTGAATTCGTGATGAAAGATGTATTCTTTTTCGTTCTTGTCAACGATAATTTTTGTGGTATACGGAAAGCCTTTTTCCATGACCACTTTTGCCTTTTTCTTCTCCTTACTTCAACAGCCCAATCCTTGACTGCGTTTCTCATAGACTCACTAAGGATGCCTTCTCCATACATGCTACTACCCATCTACATTTAAGAAGGAAGCAATTAGTAAACAAGCATGTCAAACTTGTTACAAAGGAACCTATGGGTTCAGGTAAGCGGGGTCGAGTCACACCCTAGTAAGATGTTCCCCGTGAGTGTAACTATGATTTAGTGTTTCTCTAAATACACGTGATAAAAGAACACATGGACTTGACATACCGACCAATCTGGACTATCTTACCTGTGTCACAAGAGCATATAAAGGTAAGGTGCTGTAGCTGCAAAGCACTTGAACAATCACCCTGCATAATTGTGTTGTGAGAATGATTAGATGAAAGTAAGAAACACTCGCATGAGAAGCAACATATTGGGCATTTTGGTTGGCCTTTACCCTGCAATAAGCCTTGGGATGATGTAGTCCACTTTGTCCATGATGCATGAATGAAATCCATATGTGGTCTGAATTGAAATTAGCAAGTTAACATCAGTGCCATTGCCTGTATGGTACAGAAGTTGTGAAAATGTACTCGGTAAAATAACCTGTGATCTTACCCAGATCCAAAAGAAGAAGGCAATCTCAAACGAATTTTCAAACATGATGAAGTGAATCAAGTAAAGAACAATGCGCGGTCGGCCAAACCAGAAATGTTCATCAGAAGGTTTCACTGCCCCTGTCGTTGTCTCTGCAACCTCTTTCGCCAAGCGGGTAATAATGTGCTCTAATTTAGCACCCACTAGAAGGAGAAGCTGTCATTGCACTCAAATCAGATACTTATGCTAATTTTTAAACACTTCTAAACAATGAACTTACCACTAAGGGTAAAAAGGCCAACCAAAAATAAGTGTGCCATCCTGCATTTTATTGATCCATATACAGGAACAATTAGGAATCTGTAATGAAATAAATAAGAGTGTTCCACAGAGAGCAAAAGAAAGTACCGTTGACATTTAGCAGCAAAGAAACCATCAAAAAGACCCATAAGTATGCGCTGAAGTTCAAAATCAGCTCACAGTGTTTAGCATGAAGAATTAAAGTTATTTCAAAACATAGTTCAGCCATTAAATTGTACCTTATGCCAATAATCTTTTGAAAATCAATTTCTAGAGTCCGCAACATATACTTGTGAAAATCAAATGTATGAAGATGAGGATAATGAGCCTAAATAAAAAGCAAAACGCACGATTGAAACATTCATTTTTAACATTGCTATTGGGAATAAAACAACAAAGGAAATTGTTAATTGCTATTATATATGCCGGGAACTTCACCTGTACAAAACCATACCGTAGGGTCACATAGTCTGACTCGGTCACTGATCCATAGAACTGTTTGAAGAATGCTATCTACAAACAAAGCATAAAATAAGGTACAATGGGTTGTGGCCTTATCCTAATCAAAAGACATGTATTCAATTTGCAAGGAATTAAGCTAATGGGGACGAAAAAATATGACTTAGTTTGTTGAACTAATGATGTGACATCATTATTCATATCCAAACATCAAACAATGAAAGATGTAAATATAAGAAAAACAGTGCTTTTAGCTTAAAAGTATTTTCACGAGTGAGTAACAGCAGAGCGATCCAACTTGGGGAAATCCTCCGTTTTTTGCTTCACTTGAGCGATTGATGCAATCCAAGAGGAAGTCAAATCGTTTAACTTTTGTAGTCTTTCAAGCAACAAAGAAGTTCCAATCCTACATAAACTTTTGTAGTACATACACCTGTTTCGGAATGTCCTTGTAAGATATGTAAATAAAACTTCTGAAAACCGCTTTTAGTGCCAAATTCTTTACAATATATAAGATGGACTTGCACAGGCTAATCCTGTGATGAAAAATAAACATTTCTCATTTTATTTAATCTAATGTACTAATTATCCAGAAACACTTACGATTTTTTTTCCTTCAAGGAAGCTAAAAACTTTTATGAATTACATTAAGTATCAAAAAAACAAGTAGCTTGCATTGATTTGTTGCTTAGAGCTGATTCTCGGACTTACAATTTTTCAAAATTAGTAGTATGGAATTTGGGAGTCAATCACAACTATATAGACAATAATTTAGACGCACCAACAAGCCTTAGGCATATCTTTAGAACTTTACGGAATACAGTTATGCGAGGAAACAAGGATAAAAATATTAACTTGGATAATTTGTTGAAGTTAATGCACTTCCTACTTCAGTGCATGTATCTATTAGATTACTCTTGAGTTCTTATCATTGCCTATTCGTGTACTAGGTTGCCAAGACTCAAGAGTTACTTGAATAAATTCCAAGTACGGGTCTAGAACTAATAGATACATTGAAGTCTTGTGCTTCCATTTGTAACCAGGGAAGTGAGACGAAACAGAGTAACTGTAATAGTAACATATCTTCAGTTTCTTATTCCTCAATTTTAGATCTCCGTTTTTGGACCTCAACATCTCCTCCCAACATAATGCATGTCTTTCCTAGGAGTATCTTCATAATTTCCATGGGTGGAGAACTTGAGTATGTCTTATGAGATGGAAAAAAAGAGTAACAACTCGCTATATTGTCCCTCTCCCTCTTTCTCTAGCACTTCTTTCTTCTATATCCTCAAATAACTTTAATGTTAAGTTAATAGGTGAACTTCTTGTCAATTTGTTTAAAGAAAAAGGCTGGATTGAGTCAGGAATCTTGCTTACAACCCAAGGGTTTTGCCAGAATTTCATAGGAATAGAAGCTTACCAACCAACCTACAACAGCTGCCTTTCTCCAATGTCTACCAGCACGTAGCTTGAAGATTTGGTGATGGCGATGGTGATGGTGATGATGAACGTCGGGAACTACACAAGATTAATTTCATAAAATTAGCTCAAAGAAACCAAAGTACTTCACTTAAATCATACTATTTTTATTAAAGCAATATTTTGCCACAATACTAACGCTGAAGTTGCCCATCTTGTGATATTTTACTCCTGATGGCATCCTCCCAGTTCTTCCACTGACGTATCTAGATATGGAAGACATTAAATCAACTTCAAATTCAAACTTTAAGGACATTATGTCCCTTAAAAGCATGTACACAAAAAACACTATAGAAACCTCAAAAAACATGCCACACAAGGATCCCGAAAATATAGATGAATATTCAACCTCAATAAGCATGCTTGTGTGTCTATGTGGATGATACTTTTGTCATCAGCATTGTAACATGCTTTTGTGTCCCACACATTTAATGAATTTCCATGATAAATTAGGAAATGACAAGTACCTTGGAGGAATCCTATTTAATCATAGTGAAAGAAGTTTGACAACATAGATACATTACCTTTGCTCCTCCAAGAACCATGGTGGTCGCACAAAAGACCACATGAACAAGTGCCAATACAAAAACAAATATGTGCATGTCATCTAATGCTTTCCTTGATAGCAATGGAACCTTTCCCTGGGCAAATAAAAAAGGGACGAAATTTAATGTTAGTATGTTGACAATGAGCCTAATACTTTTGTGTCAAGAAACATGAATGCCCTTTCTATTTCAAATTGGTGTGGAGTATAACAAGTTTTTCTGATACCCTGATAAAGTGCCTCCAATTCTGATTACTGTTACCCTGAGTAAGACAGCAATTCGCTACGCACGGGTTCCACCATCAGATTTCTTTCCATCAAACACGAAACAATAGAAATTAAATGGATAGAGGTACTAGACCATTGTCACACATGCATACCAGTTCAAGTTGTTAGTATTGTTGGAGGTGATGAGAAAACCAAACAGTCTCACTTATGCTGGGATTGGATAACAAGAGGTTGTGGGTCATTGAGCCTTCTATTGTTTTTTTCCTGAAAATCTTATTTCCTTGAAATGATTGATGACCCATCTTTTCCAATTTTTGGACCCCATTGGATAATTTGGAAGGCCAAAGTGCACATATTAAGGTGCAAGTGTTTGCTTAGACTGTGGCTCAAGATAAGATTAATTCATGTGATTTATTGCAAAAGAGAAGATTGAATACATGTCTTTCACATCAATAGAGCATTATGTGAAAGTTTGGATCACCTTTTTATCCATTGTCCTGTGGCCTTGAAATTGTGGCATAAACCATATGTAGAGCTTACCTTGAGTTTGTAACTCCACGAGCTTGTGCTTCTTTATTTGAGATTAAAGACAATTATTTAGGTGGTATGGATGGCAAGGAATAGAAGAATTTTCGAGGGAACGGTAGAATACACCGAGTTTTTATGGGACAAAGTATTGTTCTTGGCCTCCCTTTGGGTGTTGGTATCTAAAGAATTTAAGGATGTGCCATTCTTTTCCCTTAGTATAGATTGGATCGCAGCATGTAGTTAGAGGATTATTGTTAATGGTCTTAGCTTTTATTGCATTATAATTTCCATTTAATTTAGTTTTTTTTCCTCTATTGGTGAATTTGCTGGTTCACCCTTGGTAATCTTTTCACCTTATTATTAAGAAGTTGTTTCTTATCAAAAAGAAAAAAGAAAACCAACATAGATGTATATACCTGACGCGCACAATGTTCTGAATCATTAACATCTGTATTCAAACGCCGCTGCCTGTTTGTTAATACGGTATGCTGAGAAAATTGTTCATGGAGGTTGATATTATGACCTCTTGCACATGGAAGCATGAAAGAAGCAAAATGAGAGGGGATGCAAAGGTGGCTTATTGCACCTTGGAGGGCCCCCAAAAGAAGGGAAATAAATCCCAAAAGCATCAATTCTGGTACAAAAGAAATGAAATGCACGAACAATTATTATTATTCTTGGATAAATAAAATTTCAAAAACTCAAGGGACCAATACAGCATCTGCTTGGTGAATATCTGCAACAACTTTATACTAGTTTACTTAAATCATTGTTCTGAAGTTGTCTTCAAATACATTTTACACCAACAACTAGATAACAAGGAAAGTGTGATGAGAAACAACCTCTTGGTCTACTACATGAAAGCCAGGGATAAAATGTTGTCTGCGGATGCTCTGAATTCCAGTGAGTTACCAGGGGACAAAAAAAAAAAGAAAAGAAAAGAGAGGATGTGCCATAGCCGGGGGATAAAGGATTACATTTTCAATCTTTTGAATTTGTAGTTTTAATGTTCTATTGCTGCTTTATTTGATAGAATAGGCTATGATCTAAAGTCCACAGAAAAAACACAGCACTATGATCTTCCTCCACTCCTTGTTCTGGCCATGAACTCTACAGGCTATAGATTCTTTAAAGGGGAGACAAGGAGTTAGAAAAATTGTTTGAAGCAATCACATAGTGATTTTCTATTAGTAATACCCCAGAAATTATCTAAAATTACTAGTTTCATGTTGCTAATAGCAGTTCTGTGCATTAAATCTTATATTGAAGCACATCTTGTAGAAAAGAAAAAATGAAGAAATACATGTAATATACCTTCTTTTAGTCTCTGCAAGGCTTGATATAGTTTCTCCTCTTTATTCTTCAAGCACTGTACACAGTAACAAAAACACAGTAAAGCAATGGGACACTTCTATTCAGTTTAACAACGTTGCCATCACCCTAACGTAAATTTTACTACCAGCATATAACCATATGCTATAACTAGAATTATTGTTTGACAATATAAAATAGGATACTGACCAAATAACAAAAGGTTTTTTTTTTTGAACTGGGACCAAACCAAACAACAAAAGGTTAAAGACCACCTTATTTGAATCTATAATTACCTTGGTTAAACATTCTATTAAATTTCATCTACTCTGTGATTTGAGTTTTCAAAACATATGGGAAGTTAAGCAGCTTGGAAAAACAAGAGGCAAATATATGCTGAGAACAAGATGTGAGGACAACTGATGCTAGGAGGACAAGCAAAATTGGATACCATTCCAAGATGGTGAAGGCCTCGCTCAGCGAAAAAAGATATGAGGACAATGATGAAACAGACAATGGCGACAATCCATGCTGGTGTATACTCCAAAGAAAGGGATTGCTCCTCCATTTACACAGTTAATGAAATCTGCTTATGCAACCGAACTTAAATGATTCAAATCAAACAAAAAAGAAAAAGGTGAAGGTGAAATGATTTTATGAAAGGGAAGTAGAGAGACTGTCATCATGGCATAATCTATATACAGAAAAGCTAATGCAGGGAATATAATAGAGTTAAAGAAACAAGTTGGCCAAGTTTCGTACATAGTTTGCATACATTGTTAGCAAAGTATATTCCCGCCATCTTTTCCTTTTTCTTGTCCAGTTTACTGTTTTGATCTAGTTTGTTGGGCTCTGGAAGTGTCATGTAGATAAGGGGCCCAAGAAAATGACATGGTTTAGATTAGTTTCTACTCCAAGAAAACTAATAACTAGGTCCCAATAGATTTTACATGGGGAAAAAAGTTATCTTGGCCAACAACACAGGATTTGTGAGATATCTGGTAGTCTCTGGAGCTAGAATGGATAAACATGGCTGCCCTATATGTTTTTTATTCTAGAAAAGGTGTTCTTCTTTGTTGTATTTTGAAAGGGTGTAGTTTAAGTTGTTTGTGTGTACTTTTAGTCTCATGACATCTCAAGTGATGAAGGGTAAAAAAGTTATTATTAATAATGAAGGTTGGTGATAAATGCATGATTTGTTTTCCATAAGCTATTTATATAAATTTGCATTACAGGAAGAGTCTCCAAACTCATTTCTTACATCCTAGATTTGTTCTCATAGTCATGGTTAAAATTAATTTTTATTTGGTGGATCCCCGTTATTAAAAAAAAAAAAAATTAAAATCGGTTAAGTGATTAATTTTGAAAATTAAAGCATGAAGACATGTGCCAAACACGTCCCTTGGTTATCCTCCCACTAGCGGTGGTTATGGGTAGTTTATGTTGAAAAAATAATATTAAACATGACTTTTTATGTTTTAAGAGTTATTTTTATGTATTTAGTTTTTTGTATTTGTGGATCATCAATTTGATATTAGCGTGAAACAAAATAATTGTGGTATTTTAATTTTTTAAGTAATGGAGGAGTAGAGTCTTTATTATTTTCATTACTACATTATGTAGTGGGGTTATTTTGTATGTCATGAGAGTCTATATATATCCTATGTAATATACCCATTTGGATATAAGTGAATAAAAGTATTCTTACAATCTTCAATAGTCTCTTCCATTATATTTTTTTAAGTGAGTGTATGATAGTCCTTTAGATTCTAACAATTTCTTCAAGATAAATCTGCTCATCAAATAAGTGTGGAGTAAGTGGGAGACCCACAAACCCAAAGCTCGTCATTAGAAAAGGATGTGGACTGTGCTGTCTGCTTTAATCAAAGGCAGGCTGCCCTTATATGCAAAAGAAAAAAAAACTGCCAAGCAAATCCCCTATAAATGCAATGAGGAGTTTAGACGGTGAAAAAAACAAAGGAGGAGAAAAGAAAAAAAAAACAGGGAGCAGAGGAGAAAGGGAAATTTCGGTAGAGAGAGGAGATGGAAGAAAGGCAAAGAAAAAAAATTCTGAAGCTTTGCAACAGGTAAAAAAAAAAATGTTTACTCTTTTCCTTGTTGATTTAATCTTTTCAATCTTTGATAGCAGCAACTCAGTGAAAAACCATAGCAATCTGGAACAATTATGGCGATACCGATCCTCCAAAGTTGCAGATTATAGGGGTTTTTAACTCCTTCAATGCCTTGCGACGAAACTACCACCAAGTGTTTCATATGTTTTTTTTTAAGAAATCATCAGGAGCTTCACCATCTGTTCAAACTAACAAGAGTCTTGATGGTTAGAAGAAAGAAAAAGAAACCAGAAAAAGTGAGTAGCAGCAGAATTCTCTTCAAATGAAAGACCAAAGGAGTTTATAACTCCTCCAAATCTTGCTGCAATACCGAGAAAAAAAAATATCCACATCTTGGCGTATTTCAAGTTTTACCAAATGATGTTCCATGGCGTTAGTAAAGATCCCCGGTGTGTAATCCATGCACCTACACAGAAAAAAACTTCNGTTTGGATCACCTTTTTATCCATTGTCCTGTGGCCTTGAAATTGTGGCATAAACCATATGTAGAGCTTACCTTGAGTTTGTAACTCCACGAGCTTGTGCTTCTTTATTTGAGATTAAAGACAATTATTTAGGTGGTATGGATGGCAAGGAATAGAAGAATTTTCGAGGGAACGGTAGAATACACCGAGTTTTTATGGGACAAAGTATTGTTCTTGGCCTCCCTTTGGGTGTTGGTATCTAAAGAATTTAAGGATGTGCCATTCTTTTCCCTTAGTATAGATTGGATCGCAGCATGTAGTTAGAGGATTATTGTTAATGGTCTTAGCTTTTATTGCATTATAATTTCCATTTAATTTAGTTTTTTTTCCTCTATTGGTGAATTTGCTGGTTCACCCTTGGTAATCTTTTCACCTTATTATTAAGAAGTTGTTTCTTATCAAAAAGAAAAAAGAAAACCAACATAGATGTATATACCTGACGCGCACAATGTTCTGAATCATTAACATCTGTATTCAAACGCCGCTGCCTGTTTGTTAATACGGTATGCTGAGAAAATTGTTCATGGAGGTTGATATTATGACCTCTTGCACATGGAAGCATGAAAGAAGCAAAATGAGAGGGGATGCAAAGGTGGCTTATTGCACCTTGGAGGGCCCCCAAAAGAAGGGAAATAAATCCCAAAAGCATCAATTCTGGTACAAAAGAAATGAAATGCACGAACAATTATTATTATTCTTGGATAAATAAAATTTCAAAAACTCAAGGGACCAATACAGCATCTGCTTGGTGAATATCTGCAACAACTTTATACTAGTTTACTTAAATCATTGTTCTGAAGTTGTCTTCAAATACATTTTACACCAACAACTAGATAACAAGGAAAGTGTGATGAGAAACAACCTCTTGGTCTACTACATGAAAGCCAGGGATAAAATGTTGTCTGCGGATTCTCTGAATTCCAGTGAGTTACCAGGGGACAAAAAAAAAAAGAAAAGAAAAGAGAGGATGTGCCATAGCCGGGGGATAAAGGATTACATTTTCAATCTTTTGAATTTGTAGTTTTAATGTTCTATTGCTGCTTTATTTGATAGAATAGGCTATGATCTAAAGTCCACAGAAAAAACACAGCACTATGATCTTCCTCCACTCCTTGTTCTGGCCATGAACTCTACAGGCTATAGATTCTTTAAAGGGGAGACAAGCAGTTAGAAAAATTGTTTGAAGCAATCACATAGTGATTTTCTATTAGTAATACCCCAGAAATTATCTAAAATTACTAGTTTCATGTTGCTAATAGCAGTTCTGTGCATTAAATCTTATATTGAAGCACATCTTGTAGAAAAGAAAAAATGAAGAAATACATGTAATATACCTTCTTTTAGTCTCTGCAAGGCTTGATATAGCTTCTCCTCTTTATTCTTCAAGCACTGTACACGGTAACAAAAACACAGTTAAGCAATGGGACACTTCTATTCAGTTTAACAACGTTGCCATCACCCTAACGTAAATTTTACTACCAGCATATAACCATATGCTATAACTAGAATTATTGTTTGACAATATAAAATAGGATACTGACCAAATAACAAAAGGTTTTTTTTTTTGAACTGGGACCAAACCAAACAACAAAAGGTTAAAGACCACCTTNAAAAAAAGAGTGCAGAATGCAGATC